CCTAAGGTCATTCTTTGTCTTCGCACCTCTGCACCTGACCAGAACTAGATGGGTGGAAATGCCAGCGTGGCAGTGGAAGATTGGACCATGTGAACGACTTGTGGGTGTGGGGGCAATCGTGAACTTTCCACTAGGTGGAAACTCCAGGAAGCTTTCAGATTCGGGTTTTCCACAGATGTACCAACATGTCTCGCTTAATAAATTGGAACTTTGAGGAAAGATCTGCCTTGAACTCTGATTTAATTTTGGATGATATTTGGAACGTTGACACAAGCCTAGAATCTGTGGTAGTAAAATTCAATAGTAAATTAGTTGATCAGCTGGAGCTTCAAACAAATCAGAATGTGCATGTCTGCCTTCATTGACTCTAGTAAAATGATACCAGGACACATCAGTTGAGAATTATATTCTTCTTATAGAGGTAGTCCTCAGTTACTTACTGCATTGGGACCAGCAACTCTATCACTAAGTGACACAGTAACAAAATAAAACATCAGTGACACCTTACAATATCAATTCTGGCTGCAGTCATTATGCAAATCACTTATTAAACATAAGGTATGGGACTAAGACTTGAGAGTTCCTACTGGCTTTTCCAATGACTTTGCTTATAGGAAGCCAGCCGTGAAAGTTGCAAATAGAGATCACATAACCATGGGATGCTGTGACTGTCATACGTGTGCACCAGTTGCCAAGCACTTAAACCATGATTATGTAATTGTAGGGACATTGAAATGGCTAATGCGAGGACCAGCTGTAAATCTTTATTTTCAGTGCCATTGTAACCTCACTTGGCTGCTGAATAAGCAATCAGTAAGCAAGGACTGCCTGTACAATGTATTTCCAAGGAAAAAAACACAGCTAAAGCTTCAGTACTGCTGACCAAAGCTGCCTACAGTAATGGCTTCGCCTGGCAAGTCAGTCAGAAGTCCCACTTACCTGAAGATTTTGGAGTATGCGTGCAGGGGTAACACTCTTGGGAATAACAACTACTTTCCGCTGAACTTGCCATCTGTCACAGAATTAAACAAGCTGTGATTTTCTCATTTAGGATAAACAAAATCCAAAGTATTCTATTATGACAGGAAAAATAATATTTTCTCTACAAGGCTACAAAACTTTGGACTCAAAGTTAAAAGTAAAGCCATTGTAACATAGAATATAGAATACTAATCAGGATTCTTTGAATGGAACTTCAAAGTGTGTTCCTAGAATCCAAAGTTCTTTTTAAAAAACTAAGCTGCTACCTTGCTTTTGATAATTTGATTAAAATGTTTGTAAAGCACCTTCTATTGCAAATCTCCATTTTAAATTACAATGTTGTTTTCAATGGAAGAATAAAAACATTAATACTGCATAATAAAAATAATACTGCATTATTAACAAAATATAATAATATTTAGTAACATGGCAAAAATTAGCATTCTTTTTCCTCTTTCTTATTTATTTATATCCCTCCTTTATTATTTTTATAAATAACTTCAGGATGGCAAACACGTCTAACGCTGCTTCCTCCTATTTTTCCCACAACAACAATTCTGGGAGGTGAGTTGGATTTAGAGTGTGTGTGTGGTGTCCAAGGTCATCTACCTGGCTTTTCATGTCTAAGGTGAGATTAGAATTCACAGTCTCCTGGTTTCTAGGCTACCTTTAAGCTTAACCTTTAAACCAACTTCATTTCTCACTTAGGGAAGTTTTGATTCTAAAAAACTTTGCATTATAAAGGTCTCAGGTTCAATCCCTGACATCTCTTTATTTGTGCTTGTTTGAAAACTGGAATGCCTCTGCAACTCTTCAGAATGGCCTAGAGGTAGGCAGACCCATGGCCTGACTTGGTATTGGAATTATATTTCTACACTGTCCTTTCATCAAGAAGATACTAAATTCACTTAATCACCACAATCACTGCAATATTTCAGCACTTACATAACCAAAACTCAAGTGTTTATAAAATCAGTAGTAGTTGAAATCCTTTTGCCATCACATCATCACATTGTAACACCAATTTGTACAGTACAGTGTTTAGCTAACTGTATTAATAAGGAATATAAAGAGTTTTAGGCTCTAACTCTGTGATGGCGAACCTGTGGCAAGCATGCCAGAGGTGGCACGCAGAGCCCCAGGTCAGATCTCCATGGCGTTTCTTTCATCAGCTTCTGTTTCCTGCAAACAATGAAACAGAAGCTCACAAAAGAAAAAGATCTTACCTCTTGCCACGCTGCTGGTGTTTGGATGCCTACCTCCCACTAGCCAGCTGGTCTTCAGGTCTCTGCTGCGCATGTTGGCGCATGCACGTGTTGTCACATGAACACACACCTTTCAGTTTGAGCATGCATGCATGTGCAGTTTGGGCACACGGTGTCTAAAAAGTTAGCCATCTCTGGTCTACCTCTCTGCTCTTTCAAATCTTTAATGTTGATCTCTCAAAAGACTAATTTATTAATACCTGAGAAGAATCTGAGCAGGAGATTTGTTGTATTTTTCTGCCAGTTTCTTTATTCCAGGTTCTTCCAGCAATACTGGCTCATCTGGGTGCTTCCACATCCGGTCAGGTGAACCAAGAGGACTGTAAGCAGTTACCACCAGCCCTTGCTGATGGCAATGAGCTATTAGTTCTCTCTGGGCTAGGTAAGGATGACATTCCACCTATCAAAAGCAATGTACAACAGTGAGCAGGCTGGTGGCAAAAAAACTAGTTTCACTTTGGTGAAAGAGTAGATTTTAGAGTAACAAGTTCCAATCATTGAAAATTTAGGGGGAATTAAGTCCACCATGATCTGAGGGTTGGTGGCAAACATGCAGCTAACACACTGTATTGAACTAGAGTCTATACTCTATATTTTTGTCTAGCTTAGATGACTATATAAACAGAAACAAGATCATTAAAGCGTTTCCAACCTATATCTTCTTTTGAAGAAAATTCTCCTAATTTTAATGTTAGAAAATGTAATTGCAAAGTGTACAAAAGGCTGAGATAGAAATAGTGTGTGGCTTGTAAGTTGTGCTACATTAGCTAGAAGCAAAATAACTTCACCAACTCCATTATCTTCACTTTGCTGATTACATTTTTCCCCTCCAGTACCATATCCTGGTCCATAAGAGTAAAGCTTCAGAATAATACAAGCTATGAAACAAAAGGGATCACAGGAAAAAAAAAACATGAAGATCACTCTTCTTCCTATACCTTCATTCACTGCAGTTGGACATCTCTGACCGTATTAATACCCAGTCAGCTTGGCCAATGGCCAAGGAACAAAGGAGCACCATTCGGCAAGATCTTAAAGTTCACAAATCCCCTATTCCTGTTTTACTGGATTTTAAATTGCTTCTGTAAAACTAAGTGGTTCCATTGTTAACAAAAACACACCTTTGGCTCTCCAGCGACTCATATGGAAACAAAGGAGCTAATATGAGCGATGGGATTCTTTCTTCTACATATGCTATTGTCTCTGCCTCTACATTTTTAACACAAAGGTACATACTCAAATTACTTTGCAGGAGAGGGAAAAGGTGTCCCTTCGCCATATCTTGGAAATGACACAATAACATTAAAAACAAGGAACACTTTTTAATGCTTTCTCCCTCTTTCAGACTGGTTTTAACTTAAAACCATAGTGAGAAGGATATATGATGAAGGAGGGAGAAAGAAAAAAAACCTGGCAAGCAGGAATTGGGAAACTAGCAAAGCAGGATAAGGAATAGGGTGGGGACGGAAGAAGTAGGGTAAATGCTAGCTGCCTTGGTCACTAATCCTGCAAGCTACGGGCAGGAGTGAGGCCTTGACCAAGTGAGAATCACAGAGCGGGTACACAATGTAGCTGTGAATGAAAGAACACTAATAAGTAACATTAGATATGTCTGGTTGCTGCCAACAACAGGAACAGATAGACAAAATGGTGCACTGTGTAAATGATGCTAATTTAGCTAATTTGCCAGTCCATTTTCCTGGAGGGAAATTAAGGCTGAGGTCTTCCCAACCTGTTAATTTCCTGTAATATAGAGCTGGCTCTGGAGTGGTCCAATCTTCTTGATAGGATACAAGAGAATAGAAACTCGCAGGAAGGAAAACACTGAGATAGGGCATGGCAGAAGACTATGCTTTACTGTGAATTGAAGATGATGTGAGAAAGCGCAGAACGTGAAAGGAGAAGGGATTGCTAACAACAATGGAGAAAGGAGAACGGGGACTAGAGAATTGGAGATAGTGGCCTGAAATTTTTGATGGATTATGGAATGTTGCAAAAAGGACTGAGTGGGCAGAGACAGAGTGATGTTAACTGGCAGATTTATGTTGGTGGAAAAGATGGATAAGGTTCGTTTGATGAAAGAAAGGCCAGTGCTAAATAGCAACTTTCTGCATCATCAAGGCTCCATGGAAAAAGAAGTGGTTTCTTCACTGCCATTTCTGGAGGAACTAAAATAGCTGAGAGATTGTATGCTGGAAGAATAGAAAACTTCACTGCATGTATGGGAAATCTGGACTGGCACTGGGACATGGCAAGAGGAGGTGGAATGGAGAACCAGCTTCCAAAGGAGGAAAAGGAAGCTTACAGCATGAGGGAGCACTCTTTTTCCTAAAGAACAGCCAGGAAAAGTAGAGTGAAAAAAAACTTAAGGGTGGAATTGGAATGAAAGGTTACATTGATTTCAATGGGGGAAGGGGATGAGTGGGAGAAGGAGTAGTGGGAGAAGGGGAGGGATAGCTGGAGGGTGCCCATGGCCCATTCTGCTAAGGTAGCTATATTCTAGATGGCAGAATGATTCTTCAGAAACACAAACAGGGTGGTAACTGTATTGAAAGGCTGAGGATGCCCTGTAATGGGAGGAGAGACAGGAGGGGACAGAATGGGAAAGGATCAAAATACTGATGGGCAAAGGGGGCATAGGGCACAGTGAAGACAGGCTGTTACAGAGAAAAGTAAATTGGATATTTGATACCAATCCCCATTTCTGTCCCCCAGCCCCAATTAAGAGCCTGGATTCTGAACTGGAAGAACTTGGCCTCCAGTTGATTCTTTTCAATGCCAGTTTTATTTGGAGTAGTAGCATGTCCCTGCATGGCCTTGGGATGGAGGAGGCAGCAGACCTGTATGGACATGTACCTTTAAAACTGGATTAGGTGAGAAGAAAGGATTGCTTCTGTCTAAGATCTGCCTGGTCAGGTTTCAGGAGCTATGCCAACTTTGATACCAAGGCTGGGAAGAGGAGAGGCAATAACATTCAATGAGAGTGTGATGTAAACAAATGCACTTTTATACTAATCACTACATCTAAAGTCCTGTATATGAAACTGGGTATCAAGGACAAGCAGGGGAACCGTTAATGTAGTATCATCTCTTCTGGCCAACACACTCCCTTCCAGAAACACTTAAGACTGCCCACCTGATGGTGGACTCTCTCAGACATTTCAACCTATTGGAAGTATGTTATAGGACAACTTAGAAGTTTAGGGCTGCATGTTTGTTTTGTTTATGTTTTATGACCACCATGAAACCATGGTTTGCCCCAAGTTACCACAATCCCTACTCAGACTGGAGCCACACATTAGATTGGCTTTTTACCTCAGATCAACTCGAAGACATTAATACCAATCTTTTATAATGGTCAGATCACTTTCTGATATCCTTGATATTCAATGGCCACTAACTACTCTCTAGGGAGGAAAGAAGCATTAAAGGATTTGCCTGAGATCACTTATGAGTCTGCTTGGATTCATGGGACAACATGGGGAGTTTCTCATCAGTCTACTCAGGAGTGTTTAATTGAGATTCTTATTTGAATTCAGAAGCGCAGAACTGAGGAAAATACTTGACAGAATGCCTGAACATCCTCTCCCTGTGCATTGATTGGGGGGGGGGGGGGAGTCCTCTTTGGTTTAGAGAGATGCTTCAGAAGGTAGTACGGGAGATACCTGCAGCAATGGCAGTGAAAAATAAAAAGGCAGGTGACTGAACATAAGATGCAGAAAGGGTGATAAAGCTTCAATATTTGTCCAGTTAGTCTATTGGCAGAATGCCATCCAGCATTCTGTGATGCTGGATGGCATTCTCCATTTAATGTGAGCTCAATCATTGTTGGATCCTCCAGTAGGCCACTATGACCACTTTACTAGATATTTTGCAGACAAAATCATTCTTATCTGTTCAGATTAAATAGCAATAGCACTTATACACTCCTTCATACAGCCCTCTCTAAGTGGTTTACAGAGTCAGCTTATTGCCCGCAACAATCTGGGTCCTCATTTTACCAACCTTGGAAGGATGGAAGGCTGGTGAAATTTGATCTATCAAACTGCTGGCAGCCTGTGATCAGCAGAACTAGCCTGCACTATTGCATTCTAACCACTGCGTCACCGCAGCTCTTTATGAATGCTTATAAAGTCTTGTAACATCTTGCAAGGTCATCTGGGACTTTTTCAAGCCTATAAACAGCTGAGGACAGGAACACAGTCCTCTCTTGGATGAACTTCATCACCTGTATTTAGATCTACACTCCTCCTGGCTAGTACATGTGACCGGAGAGGGGACAACAGGTTGGCTATAGGAGTGGTGAATGAATCCTTGAGAGGGGTGGTGGTGCTGGCAGCTTTGAAAGAGGAAAGTGTGGTGCACCCCCTCCTTAAGAAGCTACTTCTTGACCCAAGTCTCTCAAAAAAACCCACAACTTGTTTCTTTCACACTGCATTTCCTTTAATCATAATCTTAAGAATCAATCACATTATCTTTTCCTTCTTCTATCTTACCTGTAGAAGTGCCGGCTTGACAGAAGCTATGCTGAGAACATCGTCAATCTGTCGACTATTGAAATTTGAAAGTCCAACAGCTTTCACCAAGCCTTTTTCCACCAATTTTTCCATAGCCTTCCATGTATCTTTGTAGTCAATATAATCATAACGCATTGTACCATCGGGATTCTTGGGGAAGAGATTATTTCCTCGCCTATTATAAAAAAAATAGATGACAAATCTATTGGAAACACCATTAAGAACAAATACACTTTTAAAATAATTACTTAACTATTTATTAGTTACATTTTTATAGCATTATGATCAGTGGTAGGTTCCTACCTGTTCGGCCAAACCGGTAGTGGTTTGGCGGCCTTAGTCGCTGAAACCGGCAATGACCCAGGCCTGCCACACCCCCGAACCAGTTCTCCAGATGGCACCATAGGCGCTGCCATCTTGTTTTTTGCTTCTGCGCAATTTTTATTGTACTGTGTAGGTTTCAGAAATCCATCACAGCAGTGGTGTCCAAAATGTCTGTCTACCTTACACAGCATTTATTTGGCTTTTATACAGTTTTAACAAGCAAAGCAAAAGCAGGGGTAGCAACAGCATCTTATTGGTGCATTTTACTTGTCAATATCTAAGTCCATCCCAACCAGAGTTGAATCTCACATAACTCCCTGGTACGGCCTATCTCTGCTAGGTGAGCTCATAGTTTAAAAGGTAAAAAGCCACTGAGATCATGGCAGTTTGCTGCGCATGTCTTTATGTAACCTTTCCTCTATTCCTACAGTACTGCACATGCGCGCACACGGCGCAACCATGAGTGAACCAGCAGTAGTGACTGCTAGAACCCACCTGATTATGAACTATACAAATTAATAGTAACCCTCCAGAATGAATGCACAAAACAAAATACCTCCAGGAGTCATATTTAATTTTTCTTAGAGTACTTTCAGCATTATGCTGAACAAGTAACAGAACATCAACATTGTGATAGGAGTTGGATCATATGTAACTTTCACAATGTTCTTTCACCTCCAGCCACATTTTTTAAGAAGAAGTACATTTCAGCCTCTATCCCTCTCTGTTCTCCTACCCTGTGCCCCAGGTTTAAATAAATAACAAATTGAGGTTTAATCTCTTAATTTTCTCTTATTAAAACGCACTCGAAGGCATGTGGCCAGTGCATAAGGTAAAGGTCCAGGTAATCCAGATTTAGATCTTGCAGAGTCTTCCTTAAAGCTGGCTCCACATCTTCTGGGTGGTGTTTGGTGTTCCATAGCTTTGATGTAACAAACAGCTCTTCCCTTTTAACAGCCTTTAAAAAGAACAACAGTGAATCATTATTATTTCAAGTATTTCTGAATACAAGTGAAGACATGTCACCAAAGAAGAGCACCAACTTACATATTGCTCAATTCAATATCACTGTATTAATATTTAAAGTTCTATTTCTGGCTGAGGAGAAGAGAATGAATGGATGAATCTGTTCTGGCCTAGACTTTCCAAGAGCATGAAGCAAACTCCTAGCCCTGACAAAAACCCCTTTTATTAATTTACTGTGAATTCTGCTCATTCACATCCAACCAAGTCTTTCAAGGGGGGATTTACAGTCACAGACCTTATCTGGCTTGGAGAGCTAACAGGCCGATATCTGCAAAACTTGGCAAGCAGTCTCGGAGAGTCACAAACCAATTAAGGAAACTAATTGTCTCCTGCAAACTCCACTCCCCTTTGCTCCTCTTTTATTTCCTCTGGGAGGGGCTATTTACCATCCACCTGTGGCCTTACTCCCAAGTCGACCGGTTCTTTAGCTGTTCCCTTCATCTGGCAACTCTGTGCATGTGCACACTGGGAACAGGCTTCATCTGTTCCTCTGCCTCACTGATGTCTGACTCTGAAGCAGCTGATAACTGGCATAGGGCTCTGGCCGCCTCTCTGCCTCCGACACAGACCCCTCATCAGAGCCTTCCCCAGACTCCAGGACTGGCCCTGTTCCTCCCCAACCTCCTCACTGTCTGATTCTGCTGCCAGCTCCACTGGCCGCTGGCGGGCCACAACAGAATCTGTATAGAATGGGAGACTCTTCACTCCAAAGTNTCTGCTGCCAGCTCCACTGGCCGCTGGCGGGCCACAACAGAATCTGTATAGAATGGGAGACTCTTCACTCCAAAGTACAAATAAGTTCTAAAATTCTTATGAGATTATTTAGATCTCTTAAGGCATCGAAACAAAACCATTTCTATGAAAAGGTGCTGTGTTTCAAGGTTTTAACATACCATCATGCCGCATTTAACATAATAATGTTCACTTTATGCCAAACATAACAAGCAAACTTTCATTCTGTCTAAATTATGTTTTGTATATGTTCTCCTTCCTTCTAATTCATACATTCACTTCCAGAGTTTTTTGTAGGAGAAACATGATCATATTGACAATTAGATGCTATCCTGACAATACCTCTTCTTTTTTACATATTAAAAGTTCATCTTTTCATTTTAAGTCCTTTAAGTTCCTTATCTAGTCATAACCTACTTTAATGTTCCTTCCTCCAAGTTGAATTCATCTTCTGATGATTTGAAGAGTATGTCCATGTTTTCAGGCTGCCAATACTCAAATGGTTTGCCCCTGCCTTCTAAGATGTTTTTTCTGGCTCAAGCTACAACCCAGCTTTTCCCCACACATCTCCCCTTCAAGCCGGAACCATGTTCAACACTGCTTAATTTCCAAGCTCAGAAAAGCTACTATCTGCTAAAACTCTTTATCGCTCCATCCTGATTTTAAATATTTTCTTCCTCACTCTGACTCATGCTTACTCAAAACAGGCACATATAAAACTCTTCCCATTGTGCAATTATTTTTATATTTCCATTATTAAGAACTAGTCATTGGGGCATGAGACACGTTTTACATCTAATCAAGCTTTTTTATGGCAGATGGCACAACATAACATTTTACAAGCTTTTATATGCACTAGAAATTAAACATTTTAAAAAATGAAACAAAATGAAAGGTAATAAGAAAAATACTCCTCTTATTTTGCAAGTGTTTGGCTATTTAATTTAAAAAATATTTTGATGAGAATTCACATGTTTAGGGAAATTGTGGACACTGCAGGACCATTGGGCATTATTTAATTTTGTGCACTGATTTTGTCAGAAACATGCAACATACCAATATGACAAATATATAAATAGCAATAGCAATAGCAGTAGACTTATATACCACTTCATAGGCCTTCAGGCCTCTCTAAGCGGTTTACAGAGAGTCAGCATATTGCCCCCAACAATCTGGGTCCTCATTTTACCCACCTCGGAAGGATGGAAGGCTGAGTCAACCCTGAGCCGGTGAGATTTTGCCACCTTCTCATTTGTATGCTACATGCATTTTATCTACGGAGATATCAAAATATAATACTTTGTAGAAAATTGTGGGTATCTTGTGGTTTGTTGGTACCATAAAAAAGAATACAGGTAGTCTTTGACTTATGACTGCAATTGGGACCAGAATTTCAATTGCTAAACAATCCAGTTTGCATTACTTAGCAACAGCAATACCTGTACAGGTAGCCCCCGACTTACAACAATTCACTTAATGACAGTTCAAAGTTACAACAGCACTGAAAAAAGTGACATGACCATTTTTCACACTTATAACCATTTCAGCAACCCCATGGTCACGTGATTTACATTTGCATGCTTGACAGCTGACTCACATTTATGATGGTTTCAGTGTCCTGGGGTCAGATGATCCCTTTTTGCAATCTTCTGACAAGCAAAGTTAATGGGGAAAACCAGATTCACTTAACAACCGTGTTACCAATTTAACAACTGCAGTGATTCATTTAACAACTGTGTTAACAACAGTTAACAAAAGTCATAAAATGGGGCAAAACTCACTTAACAAAGTTCTCACTCAGCAACATAAATTTTGGGCTCAATTGTGGTCATACGTTGAGGACTACGTGTTGTCCCAGCTGCTGTTGTTAACTAAATTCCACAGGCATTAAGTGAGGCAACTTCCTGCTGGCTTCCCACAATCAGAGGAATTGATACAGGTTGAGGGATACCTGTATGCCGATTATATACATATCCAAAGCAGAAAACAGGACATACTTCTTCGGTTTATGTTATATTTCTAATTTGTTCTAAATTCTAAGATTGTTTACTGATTAATAGATCTTTTTGTGTCATCTGCATTATGAATACAATCCTAGCTTTCACTTTCTGCTCACTATCTAATAAAACTTCATCTCCATAGACAACTAACTATAGCTTCTCTTATAAAGTGTTTCTTGTGAAAACCTCAGGAGGGGCAGAACATTCAATAAACAGAACCAGGAGGAATTTACAACACAGAATCACAGCAGACCATTTCTTTTGATGGTCACATTACGGTACATAAAGAGATGTAATTACAATTGTTCAGTAAGTGGAAGTAATATGAAATAGACATGGCTTTGCATAGCTGGCATTTTCGCCTTTCCTTTTTAACAGGAAAGAGAATTTTTCAGAGAATTCTCAGAGAATTTCTTTATTTTACCTTGTCAGCCCCAACAGTCTCCTGGAGAGCTTCACCTATTTCTGCTTCGTTGCTATAAGCTGTAGCACAGTCAATGTGGCGATAGCCCACACTAAGGGCATACTTTACAGCCTCTTTTACCTAGAACAGAAAAATGAAAAGAACAATGGATTAGAACAAGAGGAAGCATATTCCAAAGGCTACTCTAATTTAATAAGTAACGATAAGACAAATAAAAGAATTGTTTAAGATATGTTGTACGGGGTGGGGCATACCCAGAAGACAGACAAAAAAATGACAGAAGGGGAAAAACCTGTAACTCTCACTGTATTCTCAGGAGAATTGGTGCATTCCTTGGAGATTACTATGTAAGCACAATAGTCAGAATTGCCACAGAAAGCAGCTTCTTAGAAATGCGTATTATTTCTGCTTTCTGTCAAAAAACAATGTCATTTATTTTAACAGGTTTTCTTCATCTACAATATTGCCGTGCATCTGATTATTTCACCATCTTTCTTGCTTTAATAAATAGCTACAAATTATAAGAATCAGAAAATGGCGCTAGGAAGTCTCTTGTTCAATCATGTAAAAAGAAAAAATCCCTGTTGAATTGAGTTTGGCTCCTGGGGGCTTCATGAATACAGGTTTTCTTGGTGACACTGGGAAAGTGGTTTTTAAAACTTTCCACGGCTGGAATTTCTACATGTTCTTCCATTCAAATATTACATTCCACTCCTTAGCTTTTTCAAGACCAGTCAAAGTGGGTTGCTACTTGCTGCAGATAGATTGAATAATTGCTTGATTCTGTAACTTTGATTCTGCAAATTTCCTTACCTCCAGCCATGCTCTGTAACCCTACTTTGGTTTCTTATTATATTTCAGTGCTCTCTGCTTCACACAGTAATATCTTGCCTTGATTTCTATTCACTGCACTATTGCTAGAAAGCTGAATTTAGCAGATATGTTTCTGAACACAAGCGGAGTTCTGAAATAATATTAAATATTTAAATAACAATAATTAAAAAAAGATTTATTACAAAGACAGAAAACTCTTACTTTTACCTTACCTATATCATAAAGACAGAAAAATAGGAAATTCCCATTCTCCTTTAAACAGAGACTTACTTAACTACGGTAACTAGAGCTCATATGAAAAACAGATATAAGGTTTTATGTGTGGAAACCTGTCTGTCATTTAGCTATTCAGACTAGTTTATAAATGCAGAGTTGATGCATTCTCAAGCAACTCTGGCTTTAAATTTCTTCTAGCTACAAATTATGCTAAATTATTTTGGATTGGTCATATTTCACATTTAGTCATAATTTGGTGCATTTGTTCCTTTGGCTGGATATCAATCTTGGACCATCACAAAAACAGTGATCCTAGAAAAACCAGTGTAAACTAAGTTCTAACGGTTGGCTAAAGGAAATTAGTTAACTTTCACCCTTTCAATTGGCTTTACAGTATTAAAAAAACAAAATATTGGGCAATATGAATAGATATGGAAGTTGTTTTTTAAAAAAATCTGAGGTGTAGTAATATGTATAGAGATGGAGCTACCGGTATTATTATTCTTTACCTAACTTCCCTCAACTTAATAGTGAACTACTTACTTGTCCAGCATCACTCTTCCAAGTACCTAATCCAACAAAAGGCATTCTTTGTCCAGTGTGAAGCAAAGCATAGTTGCATTCAAAAGACATCTTTATCTAAACAAAATGTAATGATAGTTTATATTCAAATTGTTTGACTGTACAAAACAGAAAACCTGCAGATTGAACTGCATTTGTAATGTTGTTAATGCCATTCAATTTAAGGAAATAATAATTGGATGAAGTGATGTATTACATTAATATTCAGTGCATTCATTTTATACTCTATCAAGGGCAACAATTTTAAAAGAACAACAGAAAGCATAAAAATAAATAATATCTGAATAAAATGGAGTGAAACAACATACTGAAGTATTACAAAATAAAGGAATAGCCTACTAAAACAACCAATGTAATAGATTCAGTGGCCTACCTGAACAAACATACCTTGTTCTCAGAGACAAGGCCAGGAGAACAGTAAATGCAAAAAATGTCTTTTGTGTAACTCAGGGAACCTTTGGGACAGGTTATTTGTATTATGTAATTTCAATGTGAATTAATTTTTGTTTATATGCATGCAGACACTTTTTATTGTTTAGAACCACATTCTATTACTTTTTTAAGCCTACAAAGAGGAAAAAATATTTTCAACTTGAATAGGGCTATATTTTACATTTGGTTGCAAACACCTTTGTCTTGCCTTGCCATTTTCACAGCACAGTAGGAACCATTAAACATTGTTCACTGACTAACTAGTGAATGAGCATTGCAGTGCTTATTAAGTGAATGTGATTTGACAGATTGAGTTTTCAACTCGCCAAATGCAAAAATTGTGTTGCTTTGTTTGGTTCTTGAGCTATGCACAAAAATGGCCAAATATAATGTGTTTGTTTTGAACAGGGATATTTTGTTCCAAATGAAGAATTTAAGATTTTTTTGTGTGCATGCTTCTAGATTCCAGGTAATTTGTAGACGGGTAGTCTATAGGTTAATTCTTCATGCAAGTTCCTACATAACTTTGTGAACTATTCTTGGCAAAATAAATGATTATGTTTAACAGTATGGTGCTGTAATACTTCTCCACAACCAGTTATTCTTCTAGGAACAAACTTTGAATATTCTAAGAGTGCAACATAAAGTTTGACTCTAGAAATTATTCTTGAAGTGATTTTATTGGAACCTGGAATAAAAGGATCTTATTTACCCCTGCTTTTATTTTCCTCATCCTTTCTTAAAATCATTTCCTTCTATCCACCTTTAAATTATATAAATTGCATGGGTAAAGTTCTGTGAACTTTTTTTTTCTAAATTACCAAAAATATGGAAGTGCTACAGAAATAATTAATCAGCCTCCAAAACAGAACATCTTAGAACTGTGATGGCAAACCTATCTCTAAGCCATCTCTGTGGGAACGCGCACCGTTGCCAGCTGCTCATCTGGTTTCCAGCACGCACATGCGCGCTGGCCAGCTGGTCTTTGCAGGTGCCGGAAAACAGCCTGAAAAACAGCCAAAAAACAGGCATGCACATGATGACCAGCTGATCTTCGGGTTTCCTGTGCTCCGGGGCGCGCACCTTCTTGTGCATGCACACACATTCCAGTTTGGGCACTTAGTGCCAAAAAGGTTCTCCATCAGTATTTCTCCAATTTAAATATGAGGGAACAACTATGAGTACTGTTAAAAGTCTCTTTGTGAGGAAGCAAACAATTACAAGCATCTTTTTTTCATCCCAGTCTAGTAAAGTACATATAAGAGCTAAATTCTGAGAGACTCCAAACACCTACTTCAAATAAATTCTATGAAACCATCTAACAGGGGAATGTGGATAAAAGCAACATTACCAAAATAAGTTTTAATGCTGCTTGCCATTGGACGGAATGCCTAAGAAACCACATATATATTTTATACTAATAAAACACATAATCCACACATGTCAGATTATAATAAGAAAAAGCCATCTCAACTTTCTAAACTGCATCAGGTAACTGAACATTAAAAAAAAAGATATTTTGGAGATTCTAACCTGTAGAGAAATATGGAAGAGTCCTGAAAAAGAATATGTGCCATTGATAAAACATAAGTTTAGCCTGGGAAAGTTTTATATCAGTGCATCGAGTGTTACTTCTCACTGACAATCCATTTTCCATTGTAACTTCTAATAGCACTAGGTGGCCGATCATAAATAAAGGACTACCTGTAAAACGTTGCAGTTGTCCAATAATCACATGGTGATTAGGGAACACATCATTGTGTACAAGGCATCCCAGGTCTAAAATTGGCACATCAGCTATAACAAAAGTGGCAACAGCTGGAGGAGCTAAGGAGGATTATAAGCACTCCTAAACCAGAGAACTATTCCTTTGAAGAGAGTCATTGCAGAAAGAGTCTTACTGTAGCCAACATTAGTAGAATACCCAACCTTATTGATGGCAAGCAACCTGGACAAGTGGATTTAATTTAATCTTGTTTTGCACTATCCAGAACTTGACAGCCTCCAGTTCAGCTGTCAAAACGTGATCCAGCATAGGCTGGTGTGGAAATGTAGAAATTGTCATCTTACTGATAGCACTGTACCCTGAAACAAACTTTCATATATGTTAAATACCATAGGGGGGAAAAAGTACATACCACAAAGGAGCGGTCATGGATTCAAGCAGTGTTCCCCTATGATAATTTAGTGGAACCCCCTGCTTAGGTAGGAGTGCAGTGATTATAACACAGTGCCCTGAAATCCCAAACTTCACAGAAAAACCAGTAGGGTACCGTGATTAATGGTGCCAGGTGGCATTCAAAATGCTAGAACAAAAAGATACATTTCCTCAAGAGTTACTAAAGGCCATTGACCAGTCATATGATAGGATCTGATATCTGACAAGCATGGATCCAAATAATGTTTCATGTAGGACCCTCGAATATGGAACACTTCTGCTTTCAATACAATATTCCGTAAAAATAAATCAGTCAGTCAGTCTGTCTATCTTCTGTCTGTCTGTCTGTCTGTCTGTCTGTCTGTCTGTCTGTCTGTCTGTCTAACTATCTATCTATCT